AGTTTCTCCAATCTTGTCAAAACTCTGGATTCTGATAGAGGGCCATGAGACTTAGACTTGAGTGCAAAAATGTAGGCTCTAAACTCTTCCAGAGCCGAGATATTGAGATCCCACTTGGCTTTTATGCCATTATAAATATCTCAGCTCTGGAAGGGTCTAGAACCTCCATTTTTGCACTCAGGTCTAAGTCTTTGTATTTCCTGCTTTATATTTTGGGGTGAAGTGTGACCAGGATCTGTTTTTTTTTTTTTGAGATTCACACCCTAACTGTGGTGTGTGTTTGTGTGTATGTTTGTTTGTGAGTGTGCACCTGCTGTCTGGTCAAGTACACAGTAGTGCAGTGTCAGATCAGTGCTGTGTGTAATAAGTCCAGCAGTGATTATGTGGATGAGTGCGTGTTGGCGCTGATTGTGTCCTCTTCACATCCGTTCCTCCACTCCTCCAGCACCTGACTGCCAGCACTCACTTCCGTCCCTAATATGAAGACATGTTGTGATGGATCCGTGTCAATATCGGGATTCTGATAACACCTGGTTTGGCCTATACAACCTTTAACATATCTCAGCTCTGGAAGGGTCTAAAGCCTCAATTTTTGTACTCAGGTCTAAGTCTCGTGGCCCTCTATCAGAATCCAGAGTTTCAAGAAGATCAGAGAAACTAAAAATTTCGACCAAAAAAAAAAAAACGACAGTGGTACGTACCCCTTTCGGTTTTTCTTTTTCGAGGCGAGAAATTAAGTTTCTCCAATTTTCTCAAAACTCTGGATTCTGATACAGGGCCATGGGACTTACACCTGAGTGCAAAAATGGAGGCTCTAGACCCTTCCAGAGCCGAGATATTGAGATCCCAATTAGCATTTATGCCATTGTAAATATCTCAATATCTCAGCTCTGGAAGGGTCTAGAGCCTCCGTTTTTGCACTCAGGTCTAAGTCTCATGGCCCTCTATTAGAATCCAGAGTTTCAAGAAGATCAGAGAAACTCAAAATTTCGACCAAAAAAAAAAAAAAAAATGACAGTGGTACCCCTTTCGTTTTTTTTTTTTTCGTGGCGAGAAATTAAGTTTCTCCAATCTTCTCAAAACTCTGGATTCTGATAGAGGACCATGAGACTTAGACCTGAGTGCAAAAATGTAGGCTCCAGACCCTTCCAGAGCCGAGATATTGAGATCCCAATTAGCATTTATGCTATTGTAAATATCTCGATATCTCAGCTCTGGAATTGCCTAGAGCCTCCAATTTTGCACTCAGGTCTAAGTCTCATGGCCCTCTATCAGAATCCAGAGTTTCAAGAAGATCAGAGAAACTGAAAATTTCGACCAAAAAAAAACCGACAGTGGTACCCCTTTCGTTTTTTTTATTCGTGGAGAGAAATTAAGCTTCTCCAATCTTCTCAAAACTCTGGATTCTGATAGAGGGCCAAGGGACTTAGACCTGAGTGCAAAAATGGAGGCTCTAAACCCTTCCAGAGCCGAATTATTTTAAAAACGTTTAATTTAGGGAACGTTCCGGGTTCTATTAACGTAAAGAAAACTTTCCTAGGTAACCAATAGGGAACGTTAGAAATTTTTGTTCTGGGAACGTTCTGGGAACCTGAAAGTAACGTTCTGGGAACGTACTGGGAACCAAAAATTGTTAACTAGGTAACTTTGGGGGAGTTGTAAAATGAGCGTATTTCCAAAAAAAGTGGAGTATCCCTTTAATTTACCTCCCGAATCTATTGCGTATAGCAACGTTAATCTGCGACTAATAGCACTCTTAATCGTAATATCAACTGCGGTGAAAAAAAATTCAATAAAGAAAGCATCAAGATATACTTACTTGACTGATTATTTGCAGTTTAACATCTCATCTGCAAACAGCCAAACGTGGGGCTCCTTTTGTTCTCTTCTTACCTGGGAAGCCTTAGTTTCCTTTCCTCATGCATCGCGATTAACGTTACAGAAACATAACAGCGGCAGCGCATTTTTCAAACTCTAGTGAAGCAGTGTGTCATCATGACGTAGTATTTTTGGCGCATGCACATTAAACACCATGTTCGCATATAGTATATTTTTATTTCAGCTTTTTGAAGTTGAAGTTGTTCTAACTCTTTGTGTTGTTAGACTCTGTAAGTTCACAAAACTTTACTCTTTCACCTAACTAAAAGTCAATATTTTGGTTCAGTGTTGTGTAGATTGCAAATGAATGTGTATAATTGACTTAGAATAACATAATGATATTGAAAGTATTCTCACAGATGTAAAGTACAACACATTACTGTTATGCTAAGAATCCTCTCATAAATTACATTTTATTATGTCATATATTATGTAGAAAACTGACAAAAATGTTAACAATAAATTGTCCTGGATTATACTGTATTGCAAATTTATTGTAAAAACACATTCCAAGTGCATTAATGCACACACAGTATATATTATAGATTAAACACATTTAAAATAAACGAACAAATTGTTTTTGGACAACACACTTGAGTTGAAATTAAAATGAATTACTTTCCATGTTTTCCATTAAAATTTATATTTTATTTAGTATATTAGTCAATAGGTGGTTTGCAGTCACGTGACTGTGTTGACGCGCGGAACGGAGATGGAGGGCAAGGAGTGAAGAGCGCAATGGACGAGATAGAGGAAAATCCGTACTGTCCTACTTTAGACGCTATTACAAGAGAAATATATAAACAGAAAATCGAAACATATGTTGGACGTGATCCTTACGTTATGAAGAGGACCGATTTTCAACTGAATTGAGAGATTTGCCTGCCACCGAGGCTGTAGATATCAGCAACTAACTCGTCTTACAGACATACTTTGACTTCACAAAGTTCGGAAACTGGTACGTTACACAAACAGCCACATAAGTGTATTTAAACACCTGAATTATGTGATGAAGTGATCACTGCACACACACACACAGGCATTTTCCCATTCGGCTCTCCCCGACCGCAATTTCTTGTATTTTCCCCCCTTATGAACAACAACTTTTGTCTCACGATAAAAACTCCTCGTGGTTTGATCGATTTGAGCAACCGTAAACGACGCAAAACATAGGCATTTTGAGTTTAGTATATAGTGCTTCCTAAATATAGAAATTACTTCCTGCCCTCCATCCGCGTTTCGCGCCATGGCAACGCAGTTGCGTGACGTCACGTGAAAACAAGCTATTCGTCAAAATAAATGTCATTTAATAACTTTAAAACACTATAAAATCATAATTATTTAAAATGTAAAACTTAAGTAGACACAATTAAAAAGTTATTTTTTTAAAACATGCTTGAGTGTGTTTAGAAATATTATCATGAAAGTGTACTTTCTTTAAGTAAAACTTAAGTAGACATTATTAAAAATAGATTTTTTAAAAACATGCACTTAGGTGTGTTTAGAAATATTGTGATGAAAGTGTACTTACTTTAAGTTAAACTTAATTAGATATTATTACAAAGTGCATTTGTAAAAAGTACACTTAAGTGTGTTTATAAATATGATCATGAAATTGTACTTTCTATAAGTAAAACATAATTAGACATTATTACAAAGTGCATTTTTAAAAAGTACACTTAAGTGTGTTTATAAATATTGTCATGAAAGTGTACTTACTTTACGTTAAACTTAATTACATATTATTACAAAGTGCATTTTTAAAAGTGCACTTAAGTGTGTCTATAAATATTGTGATGAAAGTGTACTTACTTTAATTTAAACTTAATTAGACATTATTACAAAGTGCATTTTTAAAAAGTACACTTAAGTGTGTCTATAAATATTGTCATGAAAGTGTACTTACTTTAAGTTAAACTTAATTACAAATTATTACAAAGTGCATTTTTAAAAGTGCACTTAAGTATGTTTATAAATATTGTGATGAAAGTGTACTTACTTTAAGTTAAACCTAAGTGGTCTTTAATTTTAATTATATCATATTATCTGAAAGTACACTTTTCAAAAAGTATACTTTCATGAGTTTAAGCACACAAAAAGTACACTTTCAATACAATTAAGCACACTTCTTTTTCACAAGGGTTATCGTGTGAGGAAATTTAATTGAGTTTTTTATTAACAATTACATGGAAAATATGACACTGTACAGATGCGAATGAGGGAAAATTCATCATTTCTCTGGGACAAAAAAATAGCTTAAGACCAAGAGAGACAAAAGCTGATATATTTAACCCAAAGTTGGGTTAAAACAACCCAGCATGTTTTAGAGTGAAAAAGGTGATATACACTGTAAAACATGCTGGGTTATTTTAACCCAACTTTTGGTCAAATATGGACAAACCAAGCCATTGGGTTGTTTTTTGAAATTACATTTTTAACCAAACGTTTGGGTTTGTCCATATTTGACCCAAAGTTGGGTTAAAACAACCCAGCATGTTTTAGAGTGAAAAAGCCAATATACACTCTAAAACATGCTGGGTTGTTTTAACCCAACTTTGTGTCAAATACGGACAAACTCAGCCATTGGGTTAAATGTTTAAATGACATTTTTGACCCAATATTTGGTTTTGTCCATATTTGACCCAAATTTGGGTTAAAACAACCCAGCATTTTTAGAGTGTACACTCTAAAAGATGCTGGGTTGTTTTAACCCAACTTTGGGTCAAATATGGACAAACCCAGCCATTGGGTTATTTTTTTTATTATATTTTTAACCAAATGTTTGGGTTTGTCCATATTTGACTCAAAGGTGCGGTAAAACAACCCAGCATGTTTGAGAGTGAAAAGGCTCTCACTGTAAAACATGATGGGTTATTTTACCCCAACTTTGGGTCAAATATGGACAAACCCAAAAGTTTGGTTGTTTTTTTTTTTATTATATTTTTAACCAAACGTTTGGGTTTGCCCATATTTGACCCAAAGTTTGGGTAAAACAACCCAGCATGTTTGAGAGTGAAAAGTCTAATATACACTGTAAAACATGCTGGGTTGTTTTAACCCAACTTTGGGTCAAATATGGACAAACCCAGCCATTGGGTTATTTTTTTAATTATATTTTTAACCAAACGTTTGGGTTTGTCCATATTTGACCCAAAGTTGGGTTAAAACGACCCAGCATTTTTAGAGAGTATGATGTGACAATATCGTTTGATTTCATTGTTCTCACTGGATGAAGTGTTAAGACATAAACAGTTCTATTCTGTTTGCTATCAAGTTCTCAAACACAGTAAGCGGTGTATCTCAAACTGAAGGTTTGATTTGCAAATCTCTATACAAACTCAGTCTACATTCAGTCCAAATTCTCATTTACATAATCAGTGGAAACAGCATAAAACATCACCCTGACCTATAAAACCTTCTAAATTAGATTATAATAATAACAAAGCAAAACAAATGGTCGTTTTTGTGTGTAGTTTGTTATATTTAATATTCACCTGGCCACTAGATGGCGATTTTCATTCATCTTGAGAAACGGAGATTTCAGATGAGTAATATTTTGTACGTTTCCACCAAACTTAAACAGCACGTTTTCATTTAAGATGTTTTCTTTTTTTTTTTCAACAGTGCAGGGGATTTTTTATGTTACAAATCTAAACCTTGTTTTATAAATGAGCCAGAAACAACCTTGTGTGAATATTCCTAAGCTATGCAAACCTCATTTAGACTTGTCAGATGATGCTCTTAAATTGTTTTATTATCAGTTTATCTGTTCAGTGTCGTCAATATCTTAATCAAGCAGCACAATGGGATCCAGCAATGAATCTCCAAAAAAGCTTTAGATTCAGAAAGGCCAAAAAGTATTCTCAGTGGCATAAACGACAGTATTTTGCAGCTCTGTAAGATTCACATTTACATGGATTGAATGAATCACGTACGCATTAATGAGGTGAAATAAATATCTTTCGCGTTCTGTTCTCTGCATTTGTACGTTAAGAAGAGCAGCTTTATAAATCATGGCGAATGGCTCGAGTCTGATCACTCGCTGAATCAGACAGCAGTAAATCTTCATGTGCCTCCAAACGCATTAGGGGAAATCCATTAAACTAGTAAGGCACACATTTTCACGGCCAGGTGCAGAGAACGTCGTCATTCAGTTATTTTTTTGAAAATGGTATTTTGTTGTATTCAGTTTTATGTCAGTCACTGTAAACCACCGTACGCCATCAGTTTTTGAGTGAATGCGGAGCATGAGGGGCACGCTAGCTTGATGAATCCATCCTGGAACCCATGATGCTCCATGGATTTTCTCATGCATTTTCTGGGGTTTTTCCATGGAAATTGCAGTGGGGCGTCTGCTTCGCCATGAGCTTGGAGTGAAATAAGAAAGCTGTGGCGTGTCCCTCTGGCCAAATGTTAACTTGATAAACAGTGCTGTACGTTGTTGTTCTGTCCGTCTTGAATGGCTTTGTTTGTCTCTTCTGCATTGAGGTTGTTGGTCTCCGCGTCAGCTTTGGTTTTCCGCAACCTCCGAAACACAGAAACAAATCCATGACTCGATAGTTAAAAAAGAACCAAGAACACAAATCACTAAAACTTTCAACTAAAATAAAAAAACCTACTCAGTTACGTATGTTACCCTCGTTCCCCAAAGGAGGGAACGGAGACGCCATGTTGGACTGACCGACGAATCAGGCTACATACGCACAACCGGCGCTGCGTCATAGAATGTCTCTGAATAGGTTCACGCCCACTTTTGGTGGAAAACAAACTAGACTCCCCATAGAAAACAACGCCCGTAAAGAGCTGACAGGCGTAAATAACCTAAGAAATCACTTATATAAAACATGTCAAGTAATTATATGTCCACCCTGCCAGCCATAGAGCGTGAAAGATACATACACAAACTTAATTTGGCCAATTTAAAAACACGTCCCTTTATTCTCCCAGCGTCAAATTGGTGTAACAACCCCACCCAGTGGCCAGAGGTGTCTTCACCGGACATTTAATTGTACCTCATCGAGTCACCAGGTAAGCCCCTGAATGATTTTATTTCGTTTTTTAAAGTAAAAAACCTTAATGTATATATCATGAATTTATGATGATGATGGCAGGTAGCCTGGGCTAGATGATTACAGGCATAAAAAAAATGTATCTTTCACGCTCTATGGCAGGCAGGGTGGACATATAATTACTTGACATGTTTTATAAAAGTGATTTCTTAAGTTATTTACGCCTGTCGGCTGTGTACGGACGTTGGTTTTTGCCGTTATTTTGTATTGAAGTCTATGGGGAGTCTAGTTTGTTTCCCCCAAAAGGGGGCGGGGACAAAATTGACAGTTAAGTTCCCGGATGTGCTGGTTGTGCGTATGGCATCATGACTTCTGCGTAAACATACTTTCATTTTGAGCATTTTGAGCTATCCGCGTGTATGTCTACGTCGTTAAATATCCGAGTGATCCCGCGTGTATGTACACGCCGTTAAATGTCCGAGCGAAACGAAGCAAAATGTAGATCTACATCTAGGGAGTGATATTTTTTTTTCCTAGGATGGTAGGGGAAGTCTCATAAATGCTATTAACCCCAGTGACGGGTAGGTTTAGGGACAGGGTTGGGGTAGGTCATATATTTATACAGTATTGTAACGTTAAGTCAACGGTTTTCATAAACACGCTGAAAAGTGATTATGCGTGTTGATAGCACGGCAAAAATGGAAATACGAAATGCCGTCTGAATCAGGAATCTCGCAAGAGACCAAACCACTTATAGTGTAACTAAACGAGCCAATGGACATTGGCATTTGAGATTTGCATCGGTTGCTCTGCCTTGCAGTGTGTCTCGCATATCAGGTTTTCGCTGAGGAGCCGAGTCAGTGACCTGGCCACCCCGGCTCTGGGAACGAGGGTTACATAAGTAACCAAGACATTCACTTTCAGTCGGTCACGTTCGACACCGCTGGGCACAGCTCTGAACTGCGTTGCCGAAGAGGCCGGCCTGGGAGACTGAATCTTGTCTGAATTCCACATGTCCACTAGGCACAGCCAGAGATAGCATTCCTGGACCAACAGAGTGGGCATCGCCCGACCTAGGGAGCACACAGTGATTTTAGTCGCTCGGTTGTTCGCTCCACGATCGTCGGAACTACCCTTCTGCAGCTTCTTGAGCGCTTTGGCCTGGTAGACCTGGAGAAGGCCTACCCCAACCCTGTCCCTAAACCTACCCGTCACTGGGGTTAATAGCATTTATGAGACTTCCCCTACCATCCTAGGAAAAAAAAATATCACTCCCCAGATGTAGAGCTTCTTGAGCGCTTTGGCCTGGTAGACCTGGAGAAGCGCCATGGCGTACAAGGCAGAGGCGGGCTCTCTTGCAAGCTCCGTAAGCCTTGCCCGTTAGATAGGACAAGTACTTACAGGCCCGGGAGGGGGGACACGGTGGCAGGTGGCAGCGGTGCTTGGACACAATTGCATGGCAACTGACCAGGGGATTCCCGCACAACACATTTGCCCGCTCCGCCATCGATGGACCTTGTCGATTTCTGGCAGTAAAAGGTACCATCCATGACCTAGTAGGCTCCTCATGCACCTCCGGGAAGAATGGAACTAGAATGGACGCTGAGAACCAGTTGAACCGCCCCAAGATACCAATCATCCAGCCTCGAGAGTTCGGGACACAGTGGGAGAGACAAACGCTCTCGGTGGCCCTGGAAAGCTTAGCCATCAACTCTGGGTCGGACTCGGACAACGCTACCGTTCCCGAAAGTGGCAACGTAGCAGAATTTTCATCCCCAGAGAATCCAGACTCACCCTCTGATGCAGCGATTGACAACTCTTCATTGGGCAGAGCCCTGAAGGATACGGCTGGTACACTTTGTTTAGAAGGTCCAGCGCGTTCGTCAGGAAGCTCGACTGGCTGCGGTGGGGCGAGGGGCCCACGTAGGTTGGTTCCTTGTGGGAGAAGCCCTAACCATAATCCTCTGGTCACCAGGACACCAGAAGAGGAACTAGAATGAGGAATAGGTGAAGGGACTTTACCTCGTCTGAGGTACTCTAGTCTCAACTGCAAAACAGAGATGGTCATCTTCCCGCATTGGGTATATGACTCATCCACGAAAGCCACCTCTGCGTGCTTTAAGCCCAGAGTCTGGTCACGATCGTTGCCTCACTTGTCTGGGCCCCAGACAAGTGAGGCAACGATCGTGACCATCAGCCTGTGCCAGGTAACAACCACATCCAGAAACACACGGGTGGAATGACATCTTTAAAAAGACGCAGTTTCACACCCGTGTAAGCTCTTCTAGGGAAATTAGTTCTCTCAGGTGCTGAAAACTCGCAGGGGAAATGGCCGCGGCAAAACAAGCAGAGACAGTGCAGCCTCCTGTGTGCACTAGCTCTTTAAAGAGCTGTGAAAACAGCTGTTTTTTAAGCTCCTAATGAGACCGTGGCCACCTCTGAAGCATCGTCACACCAACACCAACTGCAGATGCTTCTTTCCAAAAAGAACAAGGGCTCGAAGAACACTTTCTCAACATAGATTGTAGAGCAGAAACAGTAAAACTGCTCAGAGCGAAAAGCTTATATGCGATGCACCTGCTGCTCATTTATAACCGCACTGCAGGGCGGAGCGGCAGATGCAAATCTTGCATGCCAATCTCGCATTGGCTTATTTAGTTACACTTGAAGTAGTTTCGTTGGTCAGTCCGACGTGGCGTTGAACATGACCCTACTGAAAGGCAACTAATATATATATATATTGGAATATAAGTGCACAACCTCATTTGGCCTTGGGTGTTTCAAATCTCTTACATTTCAAAACAAGGTTAAAAACTTAAAACTGTTGAGATTAAATTACAAAACACTTGCTTTACAGTGGAAACTAATGCATGAAACTGAAAATGTTATTGTTAAAATTCAAACAAAAATTGTTTCATGTCCTTTCAAAGTTATCAAGTTTTCTTACTTTTCCCTGTTGAAGACGATGAAATCTCTTTGGACAGTCTCTAAGCGTTGTTGGATTTGCCCATTCTGTAAAATCAAAAGAAAAGAATGAGTTATTGTTTCACATTAAATGTGACAAAGTGGAGTAGATTCGGAAATAAGCAGTGCCGTAACCACACAGATATCGGTTCGTAAAAAATGAGAATCGATTAGTATCGAGAAATCGATATTTATTACCCAGCCCTAGTCACCCTCTGTGTCTAAGATGGTTACGGCACTGCTTATTTTATTAGTCATCCTGTTTCATTTGAATGAATTGAACATTGTATCGCGGCTGCGCGCATCCAAAAAAATCGCAATAATCTTTGTCACTATTGATATGAAACAAAGTTTTTTCAAATTACGTCCATTTTCTTTAGAAATTCAAAAACATAAATAACGTTTTGGCGCTGTGGCGTGAGATCGCTCTGGCGCAGCTCAAGAAAAGCAGCAGCGCTGATCTCTCTTCCGGGTTAATAATACCAGTTACAGCACGAAATAAACATGAATGAGCATCTGAAAGTGTGTTAAAAGATAGAGTACAACTTATCGAAATCCGTATCATGTCACATTGATTCGCAAAATCAGCGTTTCAACCGTGGAAAGACGTCAGTTAAACAGCTTGTAATCAATGTCATGTATCGTCATATTTACCTCAGAAAACCCACATAAACTCGTTAGTCAGCTAGAAGAAAAAACTCTAGAGAGGAGCATTTTGCTAAATATATACACCATATTACATATGCATTATAATCTTAATGTTCTTCAATATTTAATGCATATTTGAATAAATCTGGCAAGTTTTTATGACAGCCACCATTTAAATGTTTATATTTATTATTTCATATAATCTTCTTATTATAAAAAATAAATAAAAGTGTAATTTAAGTGTTTGTATAGCTACAAAAAAAGTTAATTATTACCTTCATATTAGGCTAATTAAGCCTAGTCTACAACTAGACTCCCATAGTTTACAGCATTAGTTAAGAGATTTGATTTACTTGAGATAATTTGGCATTTATTGTAACTGATATCCAAAATAATCAATATTGAATCGAATTGAAATCGAATCGAATTGAAAGCTTGTGAATCGAAATCGAATCGAATTGTGAAATTTGTGTCAATACCCAGCCCTAAGGGTGACAAGACCCCCCAAATATTTGATATTCTTGATTCTGCTCTGCTACACTTAATTATGAACCGCTCTGGGGTGCGTTTCCCAAAAGCATCGTTAGCCAACTATGGTCAGAATTTCCATTGAACTCTATTGGTAACGACGGAACTTGCGACTATAGTTGGCTAACGATGCTTTCGGGAAACGCACCCCTGTTCGATTTTGGGATGACAAAAAGTATAAAAAAAGAAAATTTTTAGGCTAGTTGAATGTGAGAGAAGGGAAATGCTAACTGAGCCATTTAGAAGTTGGTATTAATTGGAGGGTCATACTCATTCTAGCTTTTGATTAGACAAAAAATTGGATGCACTGTGATAGATGATGTCATCAATATTTAGTCAGTTTTTCTTGAAAGAAAAAAAATACTGCAGTATTTTTGCTTACGGTTAATGTTTGTCACTGAAAACCTAGAAAGCTAATAGAGATGAACTAAAAGCCACTCAAGTGTGAATTCACAGGGTCTTCCTCACAGTCATCACCATTTTGTGCTGTTTTGTCAGGTCAGTGCAGTCATCTCAGGCAAGAGAAGCATTATCAGTGTGTCCAGACAATGAGTTTGCCCTACTGAACCGAGCTGTCGCTGACTACAGGTGCTCAAACAGCAGGATGTCAGAAAGATTACACAGAACTGCAGAAAGAGGCCTTGGGGAGCATTCACACTGACAACACTTTGTGACGAGGAAGCAACCAAAAGTCAAGCTTTTCAATTTTGCTTTTGTCAAGAGGTGCACGGTTAAACAATGTGGAATGGCATTTATTTCATGAAAAGATTTGTTTGCAAAGACCACAATAAAAAGGTAGATTTTATTTGACTTTTTCACAGTCTCATAACGAATGCACAATTTCAGCTCTACCATTCCGCATTTTCCTCCAAACTGCACCTATACTTTACCTTATACACTATAAAAAATAATAAGTCATGACAACATGTGTTCCCTATCTGTCAGTCACTACAACGTTATGTCGACTGACAAATGGGGTCTGACTTGGGAGCTCCAATCACCTTTGAGTTTTAGAAAAACAGCCAATAGATTTGAATTTGCATGCCAAGCCACTCCTCCATACATACTGGTATATAGACCCCTTTTGCGCCGCTAGCTGGAGGCTAAACAAACGGACAACTGGAGGCGGCCAATACAAACCAACACAGATTCGGCAACATAATAAGGAGCTTAAATTATTATTATTAATATTAAATGTCATTCTGCTGTGTTGTTGGGTGCAAGAATAAATGAAAAATGAATATGCTATATCTGGAATTTTTATTTATAAAAAATATTCATATCATTAAAATTGCACCGTAATGTCACTCTTCACATTTTCGTCTTTGCAGAACTGCGGATCATACCACACAAGTCTTGTACATGACATTTATAGGCATATGCCCACAGTTTCTCTTTACGCTAACGTTAGGTGTAGAAGTTATGCCACTCAATCGGTGGTAGCGTTAACGTTATTAATGTCAGATCGTCCATCCACCGAGTGAGCGCGTACGGGTCAGCCAATCTGTTTCTGTCCGTTAAAATTAACTTTTGCAAATAACAATTGTGGTCCTGGACGGTGAGTGACCTTGCACATTAAGATAAAATTGGATTTTCTCCAGTCATTGTTAAAAAAACAAGCTAACTTGCAAACTAACGTTAGTGAAGTGGCCAGAGTGATCGTTCTGCCACCACCTAAGCTCCGCCCGCAAAAAAGGTCACCATGTTTACTAACTGAAAAGATGGTGGCACACATCCAATCATTCGATTTATGCTTTGGAGCCGAGTGGTTGTTTCTTATGAGCGATCACTCTTTCCAGTTGCCTTGAAAGAAGCCCTCCTGCTGGTGTATATGGAGCATTCAGCAGTGTTTCGCCATTGTATTACACAGTTAAAGGGTTAGTTCACCCAAAAATGAAAAATAAGTCATTCATTTACTTGCAAGCGTTTCTAGCTATGACGTATGGCGACGTACACAGTGACGTAACGACGTCGTTCCCTGGGCGCTCTAGTCAGTGGAAAAACAAACAGGTTATGAACGGGTTCGCAAGTTGAACCAACTCCGAACCAACTTTAAACCAGCACCAGTTCTTTTTTGGTGGAAAAGGTCTCCCAGAGTGTTAACCTCCCCGCCCTGTGAAGAGGAACCGGGCTGGGTAACAGAGGGAACTTCACGAGAAGAGTCGTGACTGCTGTGTCGACATGGTCATTTTCTCGCAATCCACGAATGCCATCTCACGGCCCGGACATGAGAGATGGCGATCGTCAGTTGAGGACAGGAATCGACCGCCTCCAGAAACACCTGGACAGAAAGGCATCTTGCCGCCCATTTTGCTCTTTTAGGAAACCGTTATTTTTTCGCTGAAGCACATGGGGGGAAACGCTGCATTTTAAGGGTTAGTTCAGTAGGGTTAGTTTCAAAAATGAAAATTAAGTCATTAATTACTCACCCCCATGCTGTACCAACCCTGTAAGACCTTCGCACAAAAAGTATTCTCGTCGCTTGATAAACTTATAGTTGAGCCACGGTAGTCACATGGAATATTTAAACATTTTCTTCTTTGACTTTCTGGGCCGTCAAGAGCCAGTCCCTTAGGTAGCCTATGTAGTAGTTATACAGCTCTCAAATTTAATCAAAAATATCTTCATTTGTGTTCCGAAGACGAACGAAAGTCTTACAGGGTTGGTACAGCATGGGGGTGAGTAATTAATGACTTAATTTTCATTTTTGAAACTAACCCTACTGAACTAACCCTTAAAGTGCAGCGTTTCCCCCCATGTGCTTTAGCGAAAAAATAACGGTTTCCTAAAAGAGCAAAATGGGCGGCAAGATGCCTTTCTGATCAAGGTGTTTCTGGAGGCGGTCGATTCCTGTCCTCAACTGATGATTGCCGTCTCTCATGTCCGGGCCGTGAGATGGCATTTGTGGATTGCGAGAAAATGACCATGTCGACACTGCAGTCACGACTCTTCTCGTGAAGTTCCCTCTGTTGTTACCCAGCCCGGTTCCTCTTCACAGGGCGGGGAGGTTAACACTCTGGGAGACCTTTTCCACCAAAAAAGAACTTGTTCAGAACTGGTGCTGGTTTAAAGTTGGTTCGGAGTTGGTTCAACTTACGAACCCGTTCAGAACCTGTTTGTTTTTCCACTGACTAGAGCGCCCAGGGAACGACGTCGTTACGTCACTGTGTACGTCGCCATACGTCATAGCTAGAAACGCTTGCAAAAACAAGACAACATTACTTTGGGATTATCTCTAACTCTTGTACCAAGAAGGCTTTAAAAGTAAGTCTTTTCTGATTAGTTATGTACCCCTGTCTTGTCTTTTTTTCTTTCCATTTATTTGTTCTATATTGTGACTAACTGTTTTCTTCTTTGCTTATAATGTTTTCAATAAAAAAAAAATAGAAACACTTGCGCCAACTTCAAGCATAACAATTACAAAGGCGGACTCCATCGTGTTTCTGCAAAAGTTTCTCCTGGCTTTGCGATTTTTATTATGGTCAGAAAAGATGTTCAGAACACATCTAAACCCGCCTCAGCCCCCGACGTAAGCATGATGTGGTAAAAGAACCGTTCTAGTCCAGCATAGAGTTGGTGCCGCTTTGGGATCAGTTCTCCTGGCCGAGAACCGGTTCCTTGGCTTTCGAAACACAAAGAACTGGTTCGCGCGCAGGCACCGGCTCCGAACCGGCTCTCAAAATGCTTTGGTGGAAAAGAGGCTTGGGAGACCTTAGGGCAGGGGTGCCCAGGACTGTCCTGCACAGTTCATCTCCAACCCTAATCAAACACACCTGCCTTTAAATTCCAAGTGACCCTGAAGACCTTAATTGGTTGCTTCAGGTGTGTTTGATTAGGGTTGGAGATAAACTGTGTAGGACAGTCGATCGGCAGGAGGAGGGTTGGGCACCCCTGCCTTAGGGTTACAGTGGGAGCTCTTCCACCGGGCCAGTCTCCACTGACCTCCCGCTCCTCCAATGTGCCGTTGAACTGCCGGATGATGGCGCGAGTCCTCAGAGGGGAACCAATCAATCGAGGACCAGTTGTCGATAGTTGCATCGGAGTGTGGGCTTGTCCTCTGGAGAGGAAGATGAAGCTGAGCTTCCCCCTTCTGGGGTGGTCACTCCCACCGAATTGGATTCAGAGTTGACAGCCATGCTTTTCCGTGTCACTGTGGGCATCAGACTCGAGTGGAACCATCCACCTTGTCTCAAGCGCTCATGGTTGGATGGTTGGTTCCTGGGTCTGGTGCGCGGTTCACGGCGAGGGTACTTCATCGTACCCAAAAAAGGTGGGTTATGGCTGATCTTAGATCTGTGAGTCTTGAACTTGGCCCTTCACAAGCTCCCATTCAAAATGGTAATGCAGAAACACATTCTCATGTGCGTTCGTCCCCTCGCAACAATCAATCTCAAGGATACATACTTCAACGTCTCGATTCTGCCTCGACTGGGTTGTCCCAGTCTCCTGGTATCTTTACCAAAGACACGTTGCTCTAAAGCTCTAAGCTCTAAAGTATTCTAGTAGGCAGAAACTGCTAGTTGTGAATACTGTCTTAAATGGTCGAGGGCCGTGTAGTCAAAAAGGTTGGGAACCATTGATTTAGAGCAACTAAAGCCTAGTTCACACTACGTGATTTTAAGCCCGATTTAAGCCCGATTTGCAAATCGTTGAGTCGCCGACAAGTCAGGGTGTTATCGCGTGCAAATCGCGGGCGATTAGCGGACGATTAGCGGACGATTAACGCTCGCCAATCCGTTAGTGTGAAAGAGCCAACAACGCATCAAACACTCCTCGCAGACAGGTCACCGAGCTCAGAAAAATATCTAGCATGCTAGATATCTCGAGCAGTCGCGCGACTCAATCTCAGTGATGTCATGAGTACAGCCAATCATAGCAATGCATGGGTTGAGGACACCAGGTAAATCTTACTTTTTCTTTTTTGCTTTTTTTTTCTCAGAGCAGATCGTCGAGCAAACAGTGTGCAGCACTAGTTTCTGTCTGATGTCCATATTCGCGTGTTGTGTTCTTCTCTGCAGTTTCGCGTCATTTCTGGTTCGTTTTATTGCGTGGTTTTTCGTTACAAAACATGGTTTCTAGACCAGATAGAATCGTGTTGTTGTCAACTCGTTATTTGTTTGATTATTTTCAGGATTTAGACCGTACTATAGTACTGAAACAGCTCTCATTGAGTCACAAATCATATGCTCTTATCATCCGATCAACTCGTGTAGTGAGTTACCTCCTGTTGTGGATCAATCACGTTGTGTTGTGTGGTGTGAACAGCTAAACAACTTGAACACTCATGATTTCACTGAGAGCAAGTCATGTAATGTGAACTGCACAGTTCAGCCCGACATTTTAAAATCATGTAGTGTGAACTAGGCATAAAGTAGATATCCACGAGCAGAACTGTGTGTTCCGCTTTCTGATTTATTTCTGCAAAATATTCTGTTTTTGTGTTTTGGATGGCCAGTTGGATGGAGCCATTTCATTATTTCAAATGACAACTAGGACAAAACATGCCCCTTATAAACAAATATAAACAAAACTCTGGATACTATTTCAGATCTTTTTTATCTAAATGGATGGTTCTTTGGCTAGAATCAGACTGGCCAGATTGTGGCCTTAAGCCGATAGTTGGTCAACAAGAGACTTGAATTGAGCATTAGAGGGCCATTAATGTATCCTGTATAACACAAAATGTGAACAAAATACTGCAAAGCAAAAAAACAAGAGTTGTAACTCCTGCCGCTATAAATGTGTGAAGTCATGACTTTGAGTGTCATTAAATGTCAGTAGGCGTCGAGTGTTTAGTGCTTACTCCAGAAACCTCAGCCATGCAACTCAGGCAAGCACAGGGATTTCCTTGAGTAAGCGTGACTGATGCTTAGTGTGCTACAATCGAGGAGAGGGCTTGTTCGTACCCCATCCAATAGAAACAGCTCTTTGAAACTCTCTCACTAGCTGCTGCTGAACACACAGCGTTGGTGATACTCAAAGGATGTTCACCATCCCAAAAAAGTGTGACTATTTACTCACCAAACATTTATTCATCTTGTAGGAATAGTTCGTTGAAATATAAGAGAATTCACAATGCACAATATTAGATTAAAACAGAACTAACATTTTAAGCACTGAACTTTAATTTTGTTTCTATTTCCAGACAGCAACATTGAGTCGGCCCAGATCCGGCCCACATCGGGAATCCACGTGTACCAGATGTGGGCCGGATCTGGGCCGACACTATGTTGCTGTCTGGGTTCTAAACGTTAGTTTGAAGTCAGTGTGGCCTGTGGGAGTGGGATGCTGCTCTTTATTTTGTTCCCACAACAAGAGTTCAACATTTCTCTGCATTTATCTGACTGGATTGAGCCCATTTACAATACATTGCAAACTTCAGTGGGAGGAGAGGACTGAGAACAGTCAGGACAGAATGAGTTAGTGGGAGGAAATCTGAAGCATACAGAGAGAAAAAGGGAGAGTCAGGAGAAGAGACTGTGGGGACTGGTTATAGAGTATCGATCATCACTTATTCTGAAAATGTGAACGTACAACACTAACTTGAACTCCTACAGTCTTCATCCTACACTTTTATTCCATTCACACACACACATTCACTCACTCACTCACTCACACACACTCTCAATGCCCCGAATAATGGTTATGCTGATGAGATCAGGGCTGGGGAAAGTTTGGTAACGAGATCACACCTACGTCATTTGCATGCTTTGTCCCTAGTCTCTCTGTAAATCCCTCCCCCTTAAAAAGTTTATTTAGTTGCAATGTGTGCCGGATCTGAGCCGACACTGTGTTGCTGTCTGGAAAGGCCCAGATATACTCATGGCAAAGTTCTCTTTTGTTCTTCGCTTAGGGGTAAAAAGATGTTCAAATACTGTACGTGAGCAGCCAAATACTGTTAGCGGACATCCGACGCCTCCAACACCGCTGAGAGTGAAGTTTAGATAAATATGCAAATACGTGCTGCGTTCTTTTCTCTCAATAGAGTGCCGAAGTCACAACGTCACTCTGTAGGCCAAAACGCGGAAGTGAGTTAGCATTTTAGCACTCCCGGTTCCCTCGCTCTAAAGTCTACGGGATTTTTGAATGGGTTTTTGATAAATCGCCTGAAATAAGGTCTGTGGTGAACAAACCCCTAAATATTTTCACATTTTGATCTATGACATAGAACACACAGTTATAACCTGCTTGTGGTTTTTAAACTTTATATAGGCTTCAAAATGTATACATTTTGTATTAACTTATAAAGATTATCTTGGTAGACAAAACGTGTAAGGGTCACAACTCTTTGTTTTTGCGATTTTCCAAAAGTCGATGGGGAAAATGCATAGCTTTTCGATCGAGGGGGGAACCCATGCGCCACTAACTTCCGAGTTGTCCTACAAAGTGACGGCACAAAAAAAGCACTTAAGAAAGCATCGGATCATACATTTGGGGCATTCGTGTTACATAATGTTTATTTATAAAGCACTTTATGCAATAGATCGCAGCAGCTTTAAAGTATTAAACATGAAAGAAGTGTCAGTGTCTCTTTCAATTAGAATTACAAATTCAGTTTCTTCTATAAAGCAGCTCTCCAGTGACTCGCGTCTGACCTCGACGGAAATTTCCAGTCAAAGAAGGCGGAGCCAACCTATTACGTAATCGACACGGACCAATTGCAACGTTTACGGTAAGTTCGCTTTGGCAAGCTCTTTCAGCAAACTTTATTTTGGCATGATTTTGTTCGGAATGATGTCACACCAGTTCGTTTTTCGATTTGGCTTGAAGTAAATTGGGCCATAACCCTATAGTAAGTACATAAGTACTTAAAAGAGTAGTTCACTTTAAAAAAAAACAAACTTTTGCTGATAATTTACTCACCCCCATGTCATCCAAGATGTCCATGTCTTTCTTTCTTCAGTCGAAAAGAAATTTCCAGGATTTTCTCCATATGATGGACTTCATTGGGAACCAAACGGTTCAAGGTCCAAATGAGAGTTTCAGTGCAGCTTCAAAGGGCTTTAAACGACACCAGACGATGAATAAGGGTCTTATCTAGGACCCTTCAAGTCATGACTCGAAAAAAAAGATTTGTTCATTTTGATGAACGAGTTCGAACAGGAGAGTCACGAACGCGCATCACAGAACAGAGCAAGGCGAGTTTATAAAACTTAAAAAATTGTATTTATTTTTTAAATGACTGCTTGTTTCGCTTGATAAGACCCTTATTCATCGTCTGGTGTCGTTTAAAGCCTTTTGAAGCTGCACTGAAACTCTCATTTGGACCTTGAACCGTTTGGTTCCCATTGAAGTCCATTATATGGAGAAAATCTTGGAAGGTTTTCATCAAAAACCTTCATTTCTTTTCAACTGAAGAAAGAAAGACATGGACATCTTGGATGCCATAAACAAGACTTTAATTGTTTTATGTCTTTTTGCAGTTAACCACATTCCACAGTGACAGTGTGAGCGAGCTGGGTTCAGTATGGGTTCCTGCCAATAACCGCGGTGTGATCGTCATGTTCTGAAGTAATAACTATAATACGAGGAAGAGAAGATGAAGAGAGAGATGCTACCTGAGGAGATCCATCAGAGCCGCTCTCCCTCGTCTTCCTCGCCAACCTCTTCTTCTTCTTATGCAACGGTTTGGATTCCAGGATCATCTCCTCCAGCTCAAATGTGGGGTCACAGTTTAGTCGTCGCCTCTGCCATCAAACAAATACTCATTTATATACCATGTGCCCATGAACAAATCAAAATCTTTTGGCAAGCATTACTATTTCAGAGAGAAGGGCACTTAATTGTATTGAATGTGCACTTCAAATCTCATCATCACATTGTGAATGTCATCACATTAGAAACGCACAGAAGGACATCGCAAAATATTGAAGCGAGAGGCTGTAATAGTGGCAGAGCTTTCCCAGGATTCACTTCACTTGTGTTGAGCAGGTTTTGTAATTCAGCATTTTTACAGTGCATTACAAATATTGCTTACGCAGGACACTTCGAAGGTAAAGCAATCACAGTAACCATGCTGAACCGTTGATCCAAACAGACATTTGCAAAACTAACCTCATCAAACGAGCCTTATAAAATAAACGCAAGTGTATTCACTGCATCAAATCCTCTCAGTTAAGAACAATTATCAGAAATCTGCACAAGTTTTGCAAAGTGTCACATGTAAGTTCAAATCATTCATATCTGGAATGTCTACATGTGTGTGTGTGTGTGTGTGTACTTACATTAGGGAGGAAGCCAGGTGGGATTTGTTTGCTCAGCACAGCATCCCAATTGACATCAGAGAGGTATTCCAAGTCCTGGAGCTCCGAGAGACAGGAAATCCTCTTCTGCGCATCTACACACAACAGCTGACAACAGACCGAAACGTTTTCTTTCGGAATCAATGTTTCTTATGGTATTAGATAATGTATATTTCTTAAAGGAGTAGTTCCCTTTTGAAAACAAACTTTTGCTGATAATTTCCTCACCCCCATGTCATCCAAGATGTCCATGTCTTTCTTTCTTCAGTTGAAAAGAAATTAAGGTTTTTGATGAAAACATCCCAGGATTTTCTCCATATAATGGACTTTAATGGGAACCAAACGGTTCAAGGTCCAAAAAAACGTTTCAGTGCAAACTGCAAACTGTTTAAAGGGCTTTAAACGATTCCAGACGATGAATAAGGGTCTTATCAGGCGAAACAATCGCTCATTTAAAAAAACAAACAAAACAAAACAAAGTTTAGGTTTTATGTTTATGTTTAGGCTTAAATGCTCGCCTTGCTCTGTTCTGTGACACACATTCGTGACTCTCCTGTTCGAACTCGTTCATCAAAATGAAGGAATCTTTTTACAAGTCAATTCGTTCGTTTCGTTCGTTGAATGAACCAAATGACTCGGAAAAAGATTTGTTCATTTTGACAAACGAGTTCGAACAGGAGAGTCACGAACGCGTGTCACAGAACAGAGCAAGGCGAGCATTTAAACTTATAAAACTTAAACTTTATTATTTATTTATTAAATGAGCGATCGTTTCGCTTGATAAGACCCTTATTCATCGTCTGGAATCGTTTAAAGCCCTTTGAACAGTTTGCAGTTTGTACTGAAAGTGTCTTTTGGACCTTGAACCTTTTGGTTCCCATTGAAGTCCATTATATGGAGAAAATGCTGGAATGTTTTCATCAAAAAATTTTATTTCTTTTCGACTGAGGAAAGAAAGACATGGACATCTTGGATGACATGGGGGTGAGTAAATTATCAGCAAAAGTTTTTTTTTAAAAGTGAACTACTCCTTTAAGTGATCCTAACAAATAAATATAAATAATGAAATAATAAAGTATGACTACGGTGTGATTAATGCTACCATTTGTAGGAGAGACTTGATCCCTGAAGACCAGGCCGCTGGGTAACAGGGGTGCGCTTTGTGGAAAGTTTGCAGGATCTCATTGGCTGGTGTGTTAGTGCGCATGATGTACGGCCTCTAAAGAGAGAACCAGGGTGAAACCAGCCATGATGCAACAATCAATGAAACGTCTACGTTTTCTTGCCAGCTGATTCTCAGCAGCACATGATGAGTCTTGACGGTAACACTTTAGAATACTGTCCCTTCATTAATGAATAACTACACAGGAACAAAAGAGTAAACACTTTAGAAAACTGATCCAAATAATTTGTCATTTCTTACTAATTACTATCCAAAACCCTCAATAACTTCAGTCAATATTAGATGGGGGCAATAATTTAATTTCTTTGGAAGGATGTAGTAACACTTTATTCATTACTAATGGGTTATCATTACCTTATATTATACTTTTTGCATTATTAATATCAATTATGAACCTGTATATAGTAGTGAAAAATAGTAGTTATTGATTATATTACTTACTAATTTGTTATTAAGAGTCTCTTGTTAGTTACTAGAATGTTAAGAGTGCGTTAAATACAGTATGTGTTCTTGTGTAGTTATGGAACAGTATTAGTATTGTAAAGTGTTACCGTCTTGTCCTTATACTGATCAGATTGAGGGTCCCCCACCTGTCCTCGGAGAAGCTCATATGCAGTAATTCCTAAAGACCACCAGTCCACTGAGAAAGAGTAACCTGGGTGCGTTCCCTCGAACGACTGGAACAGTTCTGGGGCTGCAACAACAGAACGCACAACGGTAAGGATTATACGCAGTCCTAGTATATGAAGTCCTGTTGTTTGTACAGAACTTGTTTCAGCATTTTTAAATGATACAGTGGGTTTCATTGACATTACAGAGAACAGAAGTTTAATCTACCAAATCTTTATTACTGAAATGATGTTCTGATAGTAGCTACACAGTGATAGCATGGTAATTTGGTGATGAAAAAATTTAGTAACACTTTACTTGAAGGGGTGTGCATAAGACTGACATTGTCTTATGAAGGTTATGATGTATTGATGTCAAGGTGTCATAACAAAGACATGTCAGAATTGCGTTAAAAATGTCAGAGTTGAGCGAATGACACTTAATGACAGTTGTCATAAACATGCATAAACCCTCGTAAAATATGTCATGTCATGATTATGTCATGTCTTATGCAAGTAAAGCGTTACCAAAAATTGTATCAAATTATAATAAAGCATAAGCCTGGTATGCTTTATGGCGCTTTAAGTTCCTCTATTTGACCAAATCCTTATTTCCCGTTAGTAAATGATAGCATTAGCGTCTATTTTAGTTTACCATAAATGCTTGTAAGCACATTTGACAATAGACTTAAACCATATTTTAACCATAGCTTTTAATTCTGTTATAAAGGGCTTTTAACGTCAGTCTGGGATTCACTGTGAACTTTCTTAAAGGAGTAGTTCACTTTTCAAAAAACCTTTGCTGATAATTTACTCGCCCCCATGTCATCCAAGATGTCCATGTCTTTCTTTCTTCAGTCGAAAAGTAATTAAGGTTTTTGATGAAAACATTCCAGCATTTTTCTCCATATAATGGACTTCAATGGGAACCAAACGGTTCAAGGTCCAAAAGACACTTTCAGTGCAAACTGTTCAAAGGGCTCGAATCCTTTTCTGAGTCAATACTATCATTGAATGAACCTAATGACTCAAAAAAAGATTTGTTCATTTTGATGAACGAGTTCGAACAGGAGAGTCACGAACGCTCATCCCAGAACAGAGCAAGGCGAGCATTTGAGCTTATAAAACTTAAACTTTGTTATTTATTTATTAAATGAGCGATCGTTTCGCTAGATAAGACCCTTATTCATCGTCTGGAATCGTTTAAAGCCCTTTGAACAGTTTGCAGTTTGTACTGAAAGTAGGGATGGGCAACGATTAATCGCGATTAATCGCATCCAAAATAAAAGTTTGTGTTTACATAATATATGTGTGTGTAGTGTGTATAATTAATTTGTATATATAAATACACACACACATGCATGTATATATTTAAGAAATATTTGCATGTATATACTTTATTTATATTTACACATAATTAATATTATATATAAATATAAATATTTGATATATTAATAACACATTTTTCTTAAATATACACATACATGTGTGGGTATTTATATATACAAATTAATTATACACACTACACACACATATATTATGTAAACACAAACTTTTATTTTGGATGCGATTAATCGCGATTAATCGTTGCCCATCCCTAACTGAAAGTGTTTTTTGGACCTTGAACCGTTTGGTTCCCGTTGAAGTCCATTATATGGAGAAAATCCAGGAATGTTTTCATCAAAAACCTTAATTTCTTTTCGACTGAAGAAAGAAAGACATGGACATCTTGGATGACATGGGGGTGAGTAAATTATCAGCAAGAGTTTTTTTTAAAGTGAACTACTCCTTTAACAAGAAAGAACTGTGAAAACTACTTTCCTATAACATTTAACAATTTGTCAATGACAAGTAAAATGAGGAACCTTTGACTGTAGTTGTTTAAGCCTGACTAGCAGCCGTCGAGTGCTAAAGAGAAGTATGAAAGCTCTCACCCATGTATGGTTTTGTCCCTGCAATAGATGTGGCTTTTAAGTCTTCCTTCACAATAGCAGCTATGTTAAAATCTGTCAGGTGAGCGTGACCTGCAAAAGAAGAGATACACACTAAACAAAACCACATACTGTACACTACTATATATATACGTATATACTGTATATCATTGGACTACAAGAAACTGAATTCATTTAAATCAACAATAAGGAAATGAAACAATAATCAAAACTTGATTTGCTTTAAATAAAAGTGGTTAAACGGATGCTCACAGACACTTTCCTGAGATGGTCTCACGCTAATGGCATCCCAATTTGAATGTGCTGGTGATGGGAAAGTACTGTACATACTGCTGAGTATGTTAACGTCATAGAATCAATATATCTTGATATCTGGAAGGTCTATAATATCTGGACTTAGCTATCTGTTAGCATTCCCATTCATCTCAATGGCACTGGCTGGACAGGAATGTGATGGTATGTGACGCTCATGATTTCGTCTTGACCCAGGGCCATTTCGTTTTCCATACAGATTTTATTATTATTATTAAATTATTAATATGGGGTGGTGATGGCGCAGTGGATAAGACACATGCCTTTGGTGTGAGAGACTCGGGTTCGAATCCACTGTGAGACGCCAATGTGTCCCTGAGCAAGACACTTAACCCCTAGTTGCTCCAGAGGCGTGCGACCTCTGACATATATAGCAATTGTAAGTCGCTTTGGATAAAAGCGTCAGCTAAATGAATAAATGTGAATTATTATATTTTTTTTGAGGCAGACACCTGAGACATGTGTCCAATTACTCTGGAGCCGCAGGGTAAATGATGCACTGACACTGAAAAATATCCAACTTAATCAACTAAAATAACTAGACGCCCTACGCAAGTCGACTTCGCCAAAAGAGTAACACTTGACGATGTAGGATGTAGGAGTGGCGTAAGCTTAGACCTCTCGCAGTTCAATCAAACAGGGCTGGACAACAAACTCAAGCTCCTCCCACATTTCTTTAAAAATTGACGTTTTACTGTGCGTTCACACCAGACGCGAATAGCTCGTCAAATTCGCGCCTACCACGTCTAGTTATACGGGTAAACACTTTGAATCCATTCGCACGTCAAGAGCGAAATTGACGTGTGTAAAAACGAAAGTTTGAAGCGCAATTTACGCGTCAGAATCGAAATCCGTTGGCGGCCATCTTTTTTCTGTCGAACGAGCATTCATGGTGAGAGTCACCGCTCTGTATTTGCTCTGGAGACAGAACAGCGGCGTGGGGATCATCGTCGCCGTATATTTGTGTCTATCGGACCCTTCGGAGGCGAACCGTTTGACGAGTTTCACAATTTGCTCGCTCCACGAGCTGCACTGGATGATGGCCGCTGTCAGCGGTACTTCCGCCTGTCACGCGCCCAGTTTGATGACCTGTCGTCACGCATCGGATCACCCTCGCCCTCATCCACCTAATCTGTCATGATTAATAGAGCCAGCCTCCAAAAGTTATTAACCTGTCCTGTGATTTTTTTCTCTCACACGTCCAGACACAAACTTATGCACGTGTATGTTGGTTGTCTTTACATCATAATAATATTTCACATAATCTAGATATGGAATAAATAACATTCAATACAAAATGAACATGTCTTGTATATTGAAAAGTTTTAAGTGATAAAATATTTGCTTTGATGCGCATCAAAACCACACCAGGCATTTAGTCATATTAAAAAATTATTTACTGAAGCATCCAGATACTTCACTTCGTGAGCAAGCAGCTAGGCTCCTGATTGGTTAACGCGGTGCGAATTGATGCCAAAGTTCAGATTTTTCAACTCGGGCGGCAGGCGCGAATTCGCGTCAAAAGCGTGAATGCACAAATAGCACTAACTACATCATTCGCGCCTAACGAGGCGTATTCGCGTCTACCGCACCGCGCTCTACGCCTAAATCACGCCGCAGGAATTTTTTACACACGTAATGCGTCTTTTCATTGACTTAACATTGAGTGCCTGACACGCTATTTGCGTCCGGTGTGAACACACCATTAGACTTCTAATTCGTGAACCTCTGCGCTTCCATGTTCATCATTACGTTGAGTGTCAGGTCAGGTGTTACTCTTTCAACGCAAGTCAACTTGCGTAGGCTGTCTGCCGGATGTTTAAACTTTGTCTATTTTAGTAAATAAAGTTTTAAATATGGATATATATCATTTCTTACACGAACGCATCGGCTAGCTTCAGAAGACCTTATTACCCCCCACTTTTATCATGGATGGATGCGCTTTTATGGACTTAAACCAGAAACGGCCATTCACTGCCATTATAAAGCTTGGAAGAGCCAGGGCATTTTTTTCGATATAACTCCGAATTTCAAATTACAAATTATGTATGTAACTCTAATTCGTCTGAAAGAAGAAAGTCATACATACCTAGGAAGGCTTGAGGGTGAGTAAATCATGGGCTAATTTTCATTTTTGCGTGAAATATCCCTTTAAGCAATTCAAAACCATCATAGCGAACAGTGCGCATCTGAGGTTTCTCAGCCGAACGAAAGAATCCATTATTTATCAACTTTAATTTATCGGCTTGATAACATTAACATAAAAAAAAAAATTACCATCCATCGCCTAATACCGATATGGTGGCCGATATATCGCTCATCCCTACCTCCTAATATCCTTGCTTCCAGGGTTTCATATACAACAAGCATTACAACAGTAATCCTCCATTCTACAATATACACAGCCCAGCTTTGTCTCAGTATTGAGGTTGAAACAACACCTTTCAGAATTTACTCCTTCCTTTCTGCCCTGATAAAACAGCTTGGTTTGATTTGTGGGTCTGTTACTCTACTCTTTCCTGGTAATGAGATGACTTTAAGTGTGGTGAGCGGCGAAGGAAATAACAGTGACCGGAGTGAGAGGGCCAAAGTCAGCCGCTCACCTTGATGAAGATCTGCCATCGCCACAGGCTGTGAGAAAACTAGAGCAGATGCTTGTGTGTATCTGAGTGTGTATGACAAGACACAGAAGGGACTTTCTTTTTATCTAAGAAAATGCATATGTGTCCCTATATCATAGAGAGAGTAGATGTTGTGGATGTGTGCAGTGTTGGAGTGAATGTAAAACTGCTTCATGCAGGAACTGCATTATTTACACACCAACAATGGACCTCATAGTTAATTATGTCTTTTTGAGACATCGAATATAGCATTACAGCTAATTTTGGATTATTTTCCTAATGCAATGTATATATAATTAAGAAATCGTTATGTGTGTGCATGTAACTACTTTTGTAACATCAGAAGTCCATTAGAATGTTAAACTATTATTTTTGACTATTAAAATACCTATAACACAAAGGAAATAAGCCACAACAAAAAAAGTTTTGTTGTGGCTTGATATTGTTTTGTTGTGTCTTGATTTCGTTTTGTTGTGTCTTGATTTCGTTTTGTTGTGTCTTGATTTCGTTTTGTTGTGGCTTGATTTTTTGTTGTGGCTTGACTTTGTTTTGTTTTGGCTTGATATTGTTTTGTTGTGGCTTGATTTCATTTTGTTGTGGCTTGATTTCGTTTTGTTGTGGCTTGATATTGTTTTGTTGTGGCTTGATTTCATTTTGTTGTGGCTTGATTTCGTTTTGTTGTGGCTTGATTTCGTTTTGTTGTGGCTTGATTTCGTTTTGTTGTGGCTTGATTTTGTTTTGTTGTGGCTTGATTTCGTTTTGTTGTGGCTTGATTTTGTTTTGTTGTGGCTTGATTTCATTTTGTTGTGGCTTGATTTCGTTTTGTGGCTTGATTTCGTTTTGTTGTGGCTTGATTTCGTTTTGTTGTGGCTTGATTTTGTTTTGTTGTGGCTTGATTTCGTTTTGTTCTGGCTTGATTTCGTTTTGTTGTGGCTTGATTTCATTTTGGCTTAATTTCGTTTTGTTGTGGCTTGATTTCGTTTTGTTGTGGCTTGATTCCATTTTGTTGTGGCTTGATTTCGTTTTGTTTTGGCTTGATTTGTTTTTTTTTTTTGGTTTGATTTTGTTTTGTTGTGGCTTGATTTCGTTTTGTTTTGGCTTGATTTTGTTTTGTTGTGGCCTGATTTCGTTTTGTTGTGGCTTGATTTCGTTTTGTTGTGGCTTGATTTCGTTTTGTTGTGGCCTGATTTTGTTTTGATGTGGCTTGATTTTGTTTTGTTGTGGCTTGATTTCGTTTTGTTTTGGCTTGATTTCGTTTTGGCTTGATTTCGTTTTGTTTTGGCTTGGTATTGTTTTGTTGTGGCTTGATTTCGTTTTGTTGTGTCTTGATTTCCTTTTGTTGTGGCTTGATTTCGTTTTGTTGTGGCTTGATTTTGTTTTGTTGCGCCTAGATTTTGTTTTGTTGTGGCTTGATTTTTTGTTGTGGCTTGATTTTGTTTTGTTGTGGCTTGATTTTGTTTTGTTGTGGCTTGATTTCCTTTTGTTGTGGCTTGATTTCGTTTTGTTGTGGCTTGATTTTGTTTTGTTGTGCCTAGATTTTGTTTTGTTGTGGCTTGATTTTTTGTTGTGGCTTGATTTCGTTTTGTTGTGGCTTGATTTCGTTTTGTTGTGCCTAGATTTTGTTTTTTGTGCCTTGATTTTGTTGTGTTGTGGTTTGTTTTTGTTGTTGCTTGATTTTGTTTAGTTGTGCCTTGATCTTGTTTTGTTGTGGCTTTGTTTTGTTTTGTTGTAGCTTGATTTTGTTTTGTTGTGTCTTGGTTTCGTTGTGTTGTGGTTTGTTTATGTTGTGGCTTGATTTTGTTTTGTGTCTTGATCTATCTATCTATCTATCTATCTATCTATCTATCTATTTTAGTAGCAGAATTGACTTTTGAGAATTGAGAAAGGACCATTTAAAAGACAGAATAGAATAATTATTGAGACTCAAAAAATTATTAATAATTTACTGCCATTTTGTGAATACTATCGTGTAATCAATAAAAATGTAACTGTAGTCTGATTATAAGTATTTTAAAAGTTATATAATTGTCATGCGTTGACTTGACTTGATTATCCACAAACAATGAGGCTTGAAGCAGATAACATAAGAAATCTAACAAGATGCCATAAAAACAAGGAAACAGGAACTAAACCACAGGA